TTTAGTTAGATGCCCACAAAACTGAGAACACCTGTGAGTTATGTACTAGCCGGTCTTTGCACCTTAAATTGCTGGTAAACGGAAGCAGTGATGTGGGTTACGGTCGTTTTTCTGGTAGCCTTTAGTTTAAAAGGATAAGCTTTTTCATGGTTTTCACAAGCGCCTTGAGCACTTTAGTGGAGATGTGCGCTTAATAAATCTTATTATTATTATTATTATTATTATTATTATTATTATTATTATTATTATTATTATTATTATTTTTATTATTATTAATCAGTTAAAATTCTTGACGTTGAATTTGACCCATTTTTTAATAATATGATTGAAATTAATTACCGTAAAGCGATTGTCTCGATGAAGAATTTGTTGTCAAATTGGAAAAGTAGAAATATTTCAGTTACTGGAAAAATTACTGTGGTCAAATCTCTTGTTCTATCTAAATTTGTGTTTTTGGTGTTGATTATTCCAGATCCACCACCTTATATTTTAATTGAACTTAAGAAATTAATATACAATTTTATATGGAAAGGTACTGATCGTAATTCCAGAAACCAGCTTTCTAAAGATTACAAGGCTGGTGGGCTAAATATGGTCAATGTTCATTGTTTCATTAATGCTTTAAAGTCGACTTGGATTAGAAGACTTTTTAACAATCAAGATTCAGAATGGGGGTATATTTTCAAATACATTTGGAAAATTGATAATTCCTTTTTATTGGATGGAGACTCAATGTTTTTTTAGAAAACAAATGGAAAAGGTAAAATATCCCAATATTTTTTGGATCGATGTATTTAATGCATGGAACAATTTTGTTGATACTCATATACCAGACACAAATGAAGATATATATAGAATTAGCATTTGGTAAGAATTAAACTGAGACAATTTTTCATATTTTTTGTTCTTGTGAGCACTCGATCTATTTTTGCCAATGTATTATTTTATGGATTAAGGGAAAAAAAACCAAAATCAATATTATTCATGACCAAGACATGAGTATTTTTTGAATTTTTAATTATAGGGAAAAGGGATTAAATTTAATTTTACTACTTGGCAGAGACCATATATATAAAAGAAAAATGGCGGATGAAAACCTTGTTTTAATGTATTTAAAATTCAGTTTTGCATACGTTATTTTGAGGTGGTTTTATTTATTTATTTTTATATTTTTTGATGTTTTTGTTTTACTTCCCTGTTGTCGCATATTATTAAGTTTATCTTAAGTTCTTTCAATATGTTGTATTTGTACTAATTTCTAAATTAAAAAAAAATGTTGATGGATACTTCAGAAAGGTTAATTAGATCGGCATCGAACGTTGGTTTTCGTTTTTAAGTTTGCCGAAATGCGGGTGCGCTAATTGACCAAAACTAAAACTTTATTTTTATTCGAAATCATTAATATTTGCGGGCGGCGGGTTTGCAAAACAAGGTATAGGCCTAAATCTGTCGCCTTATCTGTCTGAAAAATCCATTGCTTAACTTCTAATGAGATACATTAACTTGGAAATACATTACTGCATTACAGATTGAACTTTTCATTATTTCTTCTGTTGTAGATCGATTTGCTCCGTTACTCAAGGTTTTTGCTAGATTGAAAAATCTATAAATTCTTATATTATATTTATAGCTCATGACAAGGATAGTTATATAACATAAAACTTCAATTTTGTTACATGCACATTTTCAGGGCCAACGAATAATTTCTGCAGGCTGTTAATAAAGGTTTTTTGTGGACTACAATAACTGCTTGTAAACAGAATTATTGTCTAATATCAAATAATTTTTATTTTCCTTTAAAATTTCTGCCTTGCCTGCATTTCTAACTGAAGTAGTGTTATTCTTTTGTCTGTGATATATATATATATATATATATATATACATATGTAATTAGTAGTAGTAGTAGTAGCGTAGCAGCAGTAGCAGTAGCAGTAGCAGCAGCAGTAGTAGTAGTAGCAGTAGTAGTAGTAGTAGTAGTAGTAGTAGTAGTAGTATTGTGTATTACCTGTGTTGTTCCAAGTGCCTTGACATAATATAATCATCTGCATCCTTAAAATGTATAAATTAAAATGTTTGGATGAAATATTTCATTCAAAATTGATTTGTAAATAAACTTAAATGATGTAAAGTAGTGCCATTTACATAATTTCTCCCCGATCACGATCCAAATGGCCACTGCATGATGAGTATGGAAAAAGACTGTTACTCTCTTAATGTAAAAGAGTGAGTTTTCACTCGAAAAGAGTGCCTACAGGGACCACTCTAATTTCACTCTTTTTAGAGTGAAAATTCACTCTTAAATGAGTGAAGATTATTCTTAAAATAGTGAAAAATTACTAAAATTCACTCTGAATAGAGTGGTGAAATCTCACTCTTTCTATATTTTCTATATATCAGGAGTGGTCCCTGTAGGCACTTTTTATTCTTTTTTCATCTTTTGCATTTAGAGAGTAGCTATTTTCCAATGCATGGACCCCTGATAGAAGCTCTCATGTAGGAACGATCCGATCGGCTCGCGAGCCGGCCATTCATGTGAACAACCGCTCAGCTGTTTTTGTCGTGGGTGACCCACGACCAGCCACTCTCGATCGGCTCTCGATGCAGCTCGCTCTCATCCATGTGAACAGTCGCTTGCGAGAAAAAGTGTGACTACACGTTACCGGTTTCGCTGGGCCAAACAAACCTTGATTGGCCTTTTGTTGTTTCCTAGTGCACTGAGTTTTGTAGTACAATACCTTTTAATATCGCTATTTCCGTAACTTATATTGTATAATCCAGTTTTATTTTAATACTAAATAATCTATTTACCATATATCCTAAGTTCACCTTCATTTTGGAATCATAAGTTACAAAAATTAGCATTTTAATATCTTCCGGAGCTCCTAGGCCATAGGCGTCGGTAGGCCTACACCGCCGATACGTACGTCGTTAAATATCACTTGTTTGTAGAAGAAATGTACGAGACGATAGCCACGAGTAATATTATTATGTAATTAAGTAACTTTCATGTCTAGGCCTGCATGGTAAATACCACGCCATTCGTAACTCTACTTAGTGGATCCAGGGGGTTCAAGAGGTTTGGACGAACCCCCCTCTGGCTTACAAAAAGCATGCTAACCTACCTAGGCATAGGTTAGAAGATCAGACAAACTAGGCTTAGCCCAACTAGTTTTCAATTAAATAAAATATACACACTGTTTTTGGTTTGCCATCGTAATGTACGAAAATGAGTTCTTCAGTCCTATCGGTTCATCGATCCATGGAAGAAAGACTACTACTTATCTAACTTCTCAATGTTGTTGGAATATAATAATATATTGCCTACATTTGATTTTTTCCTCTATGATAGGCCTAAAGAATGAGATAAAATTACCTGACCTTTTATCAAGAGGGGAAAAACCTTGAATTTTGAAGAACTTAAAGGTCATTAAAAAACTCCTCAGAAGTCGGGAAAGCTCATTTCCGACCATCTAGGAATCTACATTTTCACAAGGAAGGACCCCTGGAACCCCTTTCATTTTGGGGTTTTTTGGAAACATTTTGAACCCCCCTCTTTTAAATCCTGGATCCGCCCCTACGACGCAGTGAGGGACCTCATTTATGCAAAATGTGTTTAATTGTTAATCAGTTTATTATGTATGTATTTTTATTTATTGCACAAGATTTAAGTACTTTCTAAGACGGAGTCGACGTTAAGGTAAATAAAACTAAAAAAAACCGTTCCAAAGGCATGTTTGCATACATTTTTATATCATTTTAAACATCTTACTTGAATCTATTATACTGTGAATGATGATGGTTATCAGGCATACAAATTTCAAGAAAAATACAAAGACAGCGTGGTGTCCCTGTGCATTTTTGCATACGTATTTGTGACATAGTTTTATGTACTTATTAAAACATTGATACAAACCTAAGTTGTCAGTTATTTCTTTTGAAACCAGTGTCAGTATAATCTTAGGCAAGCATGTGGTTAACATAAGCAAGAATTTAGTCCCATGAAACTGTTTATCATCTTGATATACCTTCCGACGAAAATTGACCCTACCTGCGTCCCCACGGCGTCACCACCGATCGATCTAACGTGACATTATGTGGGTGTTTTATAGATTATTGAGAATGGTAATGTCACGGGAAAAATATATAAAATGACAGTTGAATGGCCAACAAAGACATTTGAAGACAATAGTTCGTCATTAGAAGTTATTTAGTATAACTTTATTCGGAAAATTAATCAAAATTGAGTTTCCGTCCCGGCGTTGTCATTGACGTCGTATGATCTGTGTGTGATTTTTACTACATAACACTGGTAAGTAAAAAATTGTTAAGCCATGTAGTACCTTGCAAATCAACCCAGAACCCTGGCAGTCTGTTGATTGTTTATTGGTAGCGTCTCTTCGCTGCCAAAAAAGGATTTTTTTGGCAGTTGCGTCCCCGGTGACATCGTGAGGGCGTGGTGAAGGCTGGTTACGATTTGGTGGCACATCGATTGAGTACTTTCATTAATCTGGCCATGTAAGTCAGTGGCGTATCTAGATGTCTTGAAATAGGGGCACGTCGTGAAATCAGGAAGTGATTAAAGATAATTTCGTACAATGAATATCCACATAATTGTTAAATGCAGGGACCTATCTCTAGTAATACATTAAAAATACAAAATATAATTCGGGACAAATAATTATCTTTACATGATATGACCCATGTCATGTGTACATCGTGAACATCCTGGATCCGTGTAAAAAATTTTAATATGTTCATTGAACTCAATAACAGAGGAATTGTTAGCATTTAAATAACCAACAATAGCCGTATCATCGGCATACTTAATGATCCTTGTACACTTAAACCGAGGTTTACAGTCGTTTGTGTATAGGTAATAATTATAGCATGGGAGACAACACGCATCCCTGAGGGGCACCTGTATTTGTAAACATAGCTGACGACGTGGTAAAATTTATTCTAACCATTTGACTTCTATTTCTAAGAAATCTACAAGTCCATTAAATAAGTATTGGATTCACCTTAAGGTCGATTAGTTTACGTGCTAAAACATGCGGTTGCGTCGTATTGAAGGCACTAGCAAAGTCAATGAATACAATTTTAACACAGTTAACACTTCGATCATCAAGGTGCTCATAGATGCCATTTGGAAGAGTGAGAACGGCATCCTCAACACTTCTATCTGAACGATAAGCAAATTGATAGTCATCAAGATCATTTTTAACGTTTTCAAAGATTTGCCCCTTAACAACCTTTTCTAGACATTTTATAGGAACACTGGTTAAGGCAATAGACCGCAAATCATTCATTTCTTTTTGGTTTGGTTTCTTAGCAATAGGCGAGATTATAATTTTTTCCCATAACTTTGGTACATAAGATGCATCAATTGAACTCTGAAATAACCTTTGGAAGGGAGGGGAAAGTTCCTTAGCACATTCCTTTAAAATCTTACTAAAGATGCCATCAGGTCCACTAGATTTACAAGCATTTAAGTTACGGAAAAGCTTAGTTACAACCAGTTCATCAATCTTAATATCATCATGACTCATATTACAGTTTTAAGAACATGTTCCATTTCCTCGTTAAAACATATAATTTGTTTAGACCATTTATATATTGACTTTCATTTTTGACGATCAAAACTTTAGCTCTTGATTTGTATCCAGTCATAGTTTGCAAACACTTCCACACATTTTTATATTGTTTTCTTTAAAAGAGCCTTCAATTTTATTTTCATACTTAAGTTTATATTCCTTAGGTTTCTGATTTATTTTGCATTGTACAGCCTTCCGTTCTAATATACAACCAGTAGCAAAAACTCTTTTTTTCTCATTTAACAGATTTTAAAGCATTTGTCAATCCACGGTTTATTATTTAAGAATAACTTAAATGTCTTACTAGGAACAATACTGTCCTCACAAAAACGAATATATTCGGAAATTGAACATAACGCTTCATCAATATCTGCAGCCGTATCAAAGAAAATGTTCCAGTCGGTGCACTTGAAACATCCGCGAAGCTTTTCAACTGTCTCAGCTGACCAACTATTAATACTGACTTTCCTGGACGATTCTCGTTGAAGCTTCGTCTTGTAAATTGGGATAAGTTGCATCATGTTGTGATCAGATTTTCCTATTCCGGGTAGAGCTGTCAT